AAGCGTAGTTTGATTGATAATATTGATTATAAAATGAAAATCTTATTAAACAGGGTTTTGGATTTCTGTACTCTGACCTCTGCTCTTATGGCAGTGAGAGACACTGATACACACAAACCTAATTTTAAAAGCATTCATGACAAAACTACTAAACACACACACACATACAGAGAATTCTTTACTATCACAAACTACTTGCTCCTACCTCCAGTGATTTTTCACCTAGTAACTCTGAATTTAATGTACATATATTTCATTTAGTTTTTTTTTTTTTTTTTGCTTGTTTGTTTTAATTTCTTTTTTATTATTATACAGAATAAAGTTTGGTATTTTCTCTTTAAACATTTTTAATCAACCTATTTGAGATGACAGGAAAAAAGCAAAACAGAAGCAACCAGACAAAAAAAAAAAAAAAAAAAAAGAATTATGACTTAATTAATTTACAACCAAGCACAATGTTAGTGCAATAAACATACAAAACTTGCAGATCTTTTAAAATAGAACATTGAAGGCAAAAAATCAAAATGCCCTGCAAAAAAAAAAAAAAAAAAAAGTAATTATTAATCATTATATATTTATTACTTCAAAGGTTACTTTTAGTGGATACCCACTAAAAATAACATTTGAAGCAATAAAATATGCAGGATTAAAAAATAAAATCTATTAATTCTTTAGAAATAGCTGAAATATGATGAATGAACCAAACACTTACAAAAAAGTTTGTCTACAAAACTCTGAAGTTTAATGCTTAATATAGCATTAATCAGCAAACTAACATATTTTATTTGTATTAATCATATATATATATATATATATATATATATATATATATATATATATAATTTTAATGACAAATAGGAGAAATGTTTTGTATAATGCATTTATTCCTTTAGGACTTCAAACTAAATAGATGTTTTAATTGATGTAACTATACATGCATATGAAAGAGAGGGGCATGCTGAAATTTTAAAACTTTAAAATCTTTTTTTTTTGGGGGGGATATATAGTCTAGCCAATTTCATCTACTTTTTTTCGTTTATGTTTCCATCACTTATTATTAAGAATCCCACATTGTGGTAATAGAAGATCTGCCAAGAAAGGTGAAACATTGATTGTAAGAACTTGGATGCAAATTTACTGGTGATGATCAAGTGATTTTTCATTAATTTTCCTAACATTCTGGCATATAAAAATTTATATATCCCCTTCTACCATATATTACACACTTTTGCACACACAAATTGGATGCCAGAAATATTTGATGTTTTTATTTAATTTAGATGTGAGAACAGAATAAAGCTTTTTGGGGAAAAATCAAATTTTTAGTTGATCCTGCAACCTTCATCAGTGCTTGATATTGAAATTTTCTATAATTTGTTTTGCATAATATAAGGAGCATATATATATATATATATATATATATATATATGTGTGTGTGTGAAGGAGGCTGCTGGACATTAAAAATTAAAAATACAGTGTCTAATCTGATAAAATATTCACATTTATCTTTTTGAAATGCTAACAACTAAATTTATTTCAATTAAGATCTTCGTTATTGTTGGTTTGCTACATTATATTTAACCTCGTGTTTTCCAGCATCTTAAAACTAATTGATTTATCTACTCAAAAGCAAGTTTACTCAAGCAAAAATAAACAGGTTTTTGGTTAACACTAAAAGTTCATATGGCTACATTATTATAATACAGTTAAACTAAAATGTTCTAGTCACTCACTCAAGGCACATGATTTGATGAAAGTAACATCAGATACTTAAGGGCTTAATGAAATGGGGTGGGGAGGGGATATAAAAACCAGCCAGAGTTGGAAAAAGCAATAATTAAAGCAGGTAGGCTTTTTAGAAATAAATTTGAGGATATTAATAAGAAATAAGATGATGCAGCACCTGAACTCCCTGTTAGAACAACTTGGGATCACAGCAATTATTGAAAGCTTATCAATCAAAGGAAAACAACTGGCTAAAGAGAAAAGAGAGACAACTTAATGTTTATATAAGCCCTGAACCACCACCACCTCTAACTTCTACACAAAGGCAACATGCAAGAGACACTAACTTGAAGTTAGACAAACGCAACTCTTATAATGTTACTATGGGAATGAAATATGCACCAATTACTACTTTGTGCCACATCTGGTACCAAGCTTCATAGTATTACCAAAACACAGAAATATACAGTATTATTTTCTATAAATATTTTACAAAATTTTCAAAAAATGCATATAAACAAAGCATTTTTTTTTGTTGAAAATAATTTCTTTTAAGTAAAGAAATGAATAAGAAAAGACATTTTAATAAAGGCATAAGAATTGTTAACTTGACTGGACAATGGTTCTAGTTTCAGTTATAAAGAATAAAGTAAAAAAAAAAAAAAATGATATGAATTTATATTAGTGCATGCAGAGCATATTTTTAAATAAATTTAGTGTCATAACACTACAACAACTATATTATAATTTCATATATTAGACAAAAGTTAAACTTTACCTAAGAATAATATATGACAATAGTGTTTAGTCATGAAATTGACTCCATGTACTCTGGTTACATTGAAATAGTTTAATACTATCTTTAAATTCCAAATATATTTGTATGACATATAAAACATTTCTAGAATGTAGGAAACTGATGACGGATGGTCTTCTTCATTCTGACTCTTTACTTGTCCTGACATTGTTAATTGCCACTGTATAACAAAACTACATTACAAATTAGTGATTCATTCGACACAAAACTGCTACAATGAGAATATTTAATAGTTAAATACATGTATTGATTGATTTGTTTTTTATGTCCTATCAACCCTTTGCAGGTTATTTAAATATTTTATTTTTTCAGATTGTAAGAATTTTTTTTAGCAATAATAATGATTTACTGATACAAGTCCAAAAAATTAACCCATAGTTGGTGGCAGAAGGGGAAATTCATACTTTTCCCAAGGGTATTTGTGTGCAAGTGAATATAACAAACTTAACTAGAATTGGAACTCGGCCATCAGATTTCCAATTCAGAGCCATTATCCATTACACCACCCACACATCCAAGCTTACAGCACCTGGTATTCCCAAGTGGTCACCCATCTAAATACAAACTAGACTAGACATTGGTGATCGTACAAGTGGTGTTTCAACAGGATATGAATTTTAGCCTTGTTAAATGCATGGGACAGATAAACAGTAAATCTATCATCAATACAGATGGACATTAGATTCTCTCTTTTAAAGATTTGAGGAGCAATACTTTGTTTCTTTGAAAATTGAACAACTCAAAGATTTAAATACAGAATTTAAATATTTTCTATACCTAATTTCCATTTTATTACAAATTAACAAGAAGTAAAAAAAAATATATATATGTTGAAGAAGTTATTTAATATCACATCTTTTACTCTTTAATCAAGTAACAACTTCATTATTTGTCCTTAAAAATAAAAGGCAAGAAAAAACAAAAACATTAACTGAAATACTGATATAAGGCTGAGTGTATTAAAACCAATGAATTACCAACATGTTGTACCCTGAAAAGACATTATACTCACATGACTATGAGCAGGCTTTCAAATGTTAACAATATAGGTTAGTGACAGTCACAAGATTCAAATAAACACTCTTTGAATGTCTTTCAAGGCTGAATAAGTTCTGGTTACAAACAGATAGATCATTATTAATGCTCAAATACTTCTGCACATATTTTTAAACTAAAACTGCTTTCACAATGACCAACTGACTCTTTCCAACACAATGTTCAAAATTTGCAAGTGCTTTTAAGCACCAAGTACGTATTTTCAGCAACACAGAAGGAAGATAATTACTTAATGATAACTGATTTTAATGTGAACATGATTTTCTTTTAGTCACCTTCAAGTCAGTAAATGAGAAAGGATAATATGATTAATGCCACTCATCACAAACTTGTTTAATCATTTAAATTAAAGCAATGTCATTTTTTTGTCATAAAAAAAAAAGCCAAAATAGCAAAATCTAACATAGACAGGTTCTTGAAAATGATTTTTTTATTATTTTTATTATTTGATGCATGTCAGAAACCCCATAAAAACAGGTCTACTTCTCTTATAAAAGATCAATTCACAAAAAAAGTTATTTAATGGCTTTTCAGAAAAAATGACCAGAAAGCTTCTCTGCAACTTTCTTACATTATTCAAATAATTGATACATTTGCTAATTGTGGAAAATATTCGAGAATTAAAAAAAAACAAAAAAAAAAAAACATGAACCTTGAATATTAGAGTTGAAATATCAGTTTCTATAGATTTTAAAGCAAGTCAATGAATATTAAAAACATTACTTTTTTTCAGTAACCCTCCAATAAAGCTTTTGGATTATTTTCATTTTATTTTCAACCAATTCTTTGTCTTGCCTTCTTCAGAGAAGATATTTATAAAACTACTGAGATGTTGCTTTTAAGGATGTTGTAAAGCAGTTTTATACCTCTGCTTTGCTTTTTCCCTTGCTAAATTTATCAGAATGTTTAGATTACAGGCATCCACAGAGTATATCTATTTGGCTTGCTTGAGTGGAATTTTAAAATACTTAATGATATGTCATAATGGAGATTTAGTTGAGATGATAAGGCTTCAATGAATTCATTTTTTTTATTCATGTGATATAATGAAATAAAAATTATTGTACAACAGAAACACATCCTTACTCAATGGGCTTGATACCCACAGGTGGTTAGGCTCACCAGTGGTTTTTAAAGTTTTGATTGATTCGTTTTCTACGGCTTATCAACCCTTTGCAAGTTATTTAAATACAGAAAATATTTTTAGATTGTAAGATTTTTTTTTCTTTGAGATATTATGATTTACTGATACAAGTGTTATTGGGGGGAGAAGAGATAGATTCATACCTTTCTCAAAGGTATTTGCACATAAGTGAGCATAACAAACCCAATTGGAATTGGAACTTTTCTCTCTGATTAACAAATCTGAACTGCTATCCATTATACCACCTACATATCCAAGCTTACAACATCTGGTATTCCCAAGTGATCACCCATCTAGATAGTGACCAGGCTCAACATTGCTTAACTTTGGTGATCATATGGGACCCTGGGTTTCAATGTGATATAGCCATAAGCCTTCGTTTTTAATCATCTGCACCTACATAAATAAATGAAATAAAATAACATACACAAAGAATGAGTAGTAAAAAAATACAACACATAGTATAGCCAATGTAATAAAAATAACTTATTCATACTGAAAGTAATTAAATTGAAATATTTAGTTCTAACTGGCAATTTGAGTATTCAGTTAACTGATGTTCTAACATATTTCTGTCTAAATCTGAAAAGTGACAGCTTTTCTTTTTCATTTGCAAACTTGGTTAATCTCAATTCATCTTCTGATTTTAGAATCATACAAATGTCAAAGCAAGAAGTAAATTAGGGTTTCAACAAACACTAATTTACTAAAGTACAACAAATGTAAGAAATCAATAATATTTTTGGTGAGATTGAATTCATTATGAAGGAAATGAGGTCATGCCGGGAGTCCTAAGCTAAAAATTCTGATGCTTATATTTCCTACAATTTTAAACAACTGAAAGCTTTAAAATAAACATGAATACAGGGCATGATGGGTAAATTGTTGCCATTTTATATTTTTAATTTTGCACATGCACATTGTTTGTTTTTGTCAACTGCACAGTATAGTAGGGTCAGTTGGGCAACATCTGTGAGAAAAAGAGTACTATGACACAATTCACGCCACCAGAAATTTGGAAATGGCATGCTGTACTGCTTGGCATTTGTGCCAGAAACTCCCAAATTTGTTAGTGAGGGCATGTCAGAATTTCTGCGACCACATTACTCCTTACATCTGGCTACCTAACTCCCCAGACTGCAACCCCTTTGATTATTATGTGTGGGGCACAGTTGAGTAAGAGACCAACAAAACTCCTTAGAACACCAAAGATAAACTGAAGGCAAGGGTTATGACAGCATTCACCAACTTAAACAAGGAGACTGTCCAGAAGAGTTGCAAGAGATTCCAAATTTGTCTGGAGGCCATGGTTGAAGTCAATGGTGATTTTATTGAACAAATTTACTCTTCAGTATTTCAAGATATTTTTGTATAATTTTGGTAAATATATCTGTTAAAATGAGATATCAGTGTTATTTTCATTTTTAGGTAATTTAGACAATTTATCCATCGTACTCTGTATATTATATATTTTATGCATAAAAAAAATTAAATTGGAAATAGAGGAACTAAGTCAATTTCTAAAATGTTCAAGGAAATTTTTACAAATGATCCCACTATTAAACATTGATTTTGCTAAAGTATTTTAAAGGATTTTCAAAAAGGTTGCTATTAAATATTTTATGTGTTAGAGTGGGGAGGTGGGTATTGCAAAAGACTAATCAGAATATTAATGGAGCAGTACTAAAAATAAGAACTCCTTAGACATGGGCAGTCCAAGAAAATTCTTACAAATAATCCTACTATTAAACATTATTTAATATGTTGAGCCTATCCCACATAGATTAAATAAATAGTTCAGTTTGGAATTTTCTGTAGGTTACCTAAATTGATATACACCTGGATGAAGGCCAAAAGGTACAAAAGCTGAAATGTTGTGATAACAATACCAAAGATGTGGACAATAGTCCAAATGTAAATAGTATAAATAAATTTAAAAAATTACAATGAGTTAGCCAAAAGAAAATTTAGGTCAATGCTAAAAGGTATGGCATCATAAAACTAAAACATTTAAAAAAAAATGAAAGAAGAAACTAAATACAAAAGAACATCAAACAGTGATTAAGAGAGCAGTCTCAGAAACTTGTATAAAAGCATATTTTTTTTTGCAACAACTCTTTTCGCTAGTAGTAATTCTTACATCTAAAATATACCTCAAATGATTGTTTTTCTTTACAGCTTATCAACATTTTGCAGGTTATTTAAAGCCAGAAAATATTTTTAGATTGTAAGAATTTGTTGGAGATAATTATTTACTGACTCAAATTCTACTAATTAAACCATTTCTTGGAGGGGAAGAGATGTTCATACCTTTCCCAAAGGTATTTGCATGTAAGTGAATATAACAAACCCAACTGAAATTGGAACTTGGCTCACCAATTTCCAATTCCAAGACTTAATCTATTACACCACCCATACAGCCAAGCTTACAGCATCTGGTATTCTCAAGCAGTCATACTTCAAATGGTCATGTCAAATAAAATTTTAATGATATAAAAAACAAAATGCTTATCAGACCAAGTAAAGGAGGAAAAAAAAAAAGCACCAGTCATCATTATTATATAATTCACAAATTCAAGATTGATAAAAATAATGAATAGGCATTAAATTAATATGGAAAAGTAAATAAAGCATCTTAAAAGTATCCAATGAATAAAGAAATATACAATGCTTATTAAAATAAATCAACAACTGTAAATAATCCAATCAAAGTCAACCTTTTTAATAAAAAAGGTTTTATTACCAATGGAATAGCTAAACAGTCAAAGCCAATTTTATGAGACATGACAAATGTCAGAATTTTCTACTGAATAAAATATCGATCAATTTTCCATTTTTGTATTTGTTACATTGATAAATGATGACAAAGCAAACACAAGAGACAAATCAAATGTTCATAAGGGTTTCTCAATTTAAAAACAACTTTGAGATTTTCGCTTTCTTAGTCTAAAAATAAGTAATTAATTTCTTTTACTGATTTATGATTATTTATTCAATAGGTTTAACATTGACACAAGACCAGTGGTTTATAAAAATATAACAGAACCAAATTCATGTTTCAGACAAGGAACTCACAGCTGAATAACCAATATTTACATTTTCAATTTTATATTAAAATCTTTTTAAGCCCTCAAGAGTATCATAGTACAAAATAGAATACAAAAGAAGAATACACTACAAAACAATTATAATAGAGTAGAAAATTAACTGAGGTAAAAAAAAAATAAATGAATTTAAAACAGACAAAAATGTCACATTAAAAAAATTCAAATTCTTTAAACATTAATACAAAATGACTACAAGAACAAACAAACAAGAATTCCAATTTAGTCAATAGCACTGAAATAATTTAACACAGATTCTTGTGAAGGTTTATGTTTACTGCATCAGCTATTTTCAAAAGAAAATATCATATACAAGAATGTTCTTAGGAAATGGGAGAGAAATTTATAGAGAAAAATTATCACTTGATATTTTGAGAATAGATTATCAAACAATAAAATTATTGAATAACAACTGTTATTTTTAAATAAATAAAAAAACATACAGAATCCATTATTAAAAACCAAGAAAGATGTTTCTTCTATCATAAACTGCATAGGAGAAAAGCATGAAAATTAGACAACTCGTTTTCAAATTTTTTCTTCAATTAGTTTGTATTTGCTTTTTCCAAAACCAATATTATTAAAAAAATAAAAAATAAAAAAACTGCATATTTAAAAACAAAAAGATTGACATTTCTCAAGTGATTTCTTGTACGAGTAAGTCATTGCATTCATCGTTTTTCATCATATAATTATTGGAAATAGAAGCAAAATATAAAAAAAAAAAAAAAATGTTCAACATGATAGTGGTAGAATGTTTATAATAACCATCAATGGCACTAAACACCAAAACATGAAACTAAAATTTTTCCATCCATTAGATTTCAAAATAATCCAAGATCTTTTTCACTTGTTATACAAAAAAATATAAAAATTCAGATATAAATAAAATATATATGTAAAAAGACAATATGAATAAAGACAAAAGGAAAACTTTTCTTTACCAATATGTTTCATCCTCTGATGGACTTTATCCAAAAGTGCCTTGATAAAGTCCTTCAGAGGATGAAATGCATTGGTAAAGAAAAGTTTTCCTTTTCTTGTGTGTATAATGAATTCATTTGAGAAGGGGAAGTATAAGAATATTTATTCCACTTTGCATAAAAAATTGTTTGGGAGGAAAATAAGGAAAATAAAGTGTTTTTCAATATAAAACAAAATTATTTTAAATTTCAATAAATTTTTTGAACCACAAAAAAATGACCCACACTGGCTTAATTCATAAGTGAGAAATGTTCAGGAATTTATTTTCAGCAAAAAATTCAAAGAAAAGATCAAAATGGAAGATGTTTATTATTCAACATAAAAAGTTTTAAAAAGTCAATTTCAGATTACTGTCATCATCAATAACAATACTATAATTATTATTCCCTCCCATCAAAAAGGTTCTTCACAAGAATTACACTAGGCAGTAAAAAATTATCCACTCTCCAGACAAATGATGCTGTAATACTCTAAATTAAGTATGCTATTTCTCAATCTGTATTCAGAATCACCATAGTACATAACCAAATAAATATAAAAATGAATAAATTTCTCTTTAGAAATGTTTGAGATTCTTACATTTATTCATCAAGCTGGTCTCCTGTTCTAAGAACCAACAATTGTGACACATCATGTTTGGGTTGAACATGGCTTCAATTTCATCTCAAATGTATCATGGTGAACCTATTATCATGCTCATTGTTTATGGGACACAAATTGATTAAAAGAATCAAGATGAGAATGCAAGAAGGACATTTAAAGAGACATCCAGCATCTAATTCTTTGTTACAATGTTAACATGTTGCATATTAAATCATCAGAGTTTTCAATTCTATGTGACCAAAATTCTGTACAACTAATATAAATTTAATTCTCTTTTCTTTACAGCAAATTTTACTTTTAGATACTAGACAACAATTATCATGTACCAGAAAAATAAAACAAAAAATAATGCCTAAACACTAATTTTCTAACCTGAAACAATACTTTTAGTAAGATAAACTATTAATATAAGACAAGGTCTCCCCAATCATATAATTCAAAATCTTAATGTGAAAGAAGAATTCTGAGTATAGTATGGAATTTAAGGTTGCCTTTAGGTGTATTGTAGATGTGCATGTGTGTGAGTGTCTGTTCACATAAACAATTAAAGAAGAAGCAATAAAAACTTTGGTTTCTACTATGGAACATTTATTCTTTTTGTAGGGTAACAGGAAACAAAGTTCTCAATGTCTCTTGGGTATGTCCATATTCTTTTTCTGGTTCAGAAGTAAGTTAGGATA